AAGCCACAACTTCCCTTAGGACCTTTGCACCCTTCCAATGCAACAACTACTGAAACCTGTGTCATGCTCCTGACTGTTACCACCATTTGAAGGAAAATTGGTAACTCAAACGACTGTGTGAACCCTTCCCCTCCCCTCTCTCTTCATGGGCACTCCAACAAGGCCTCCAGGACAGGTACGGGAAGGGAGTTGCAGAGGGTAGAGGAACACATTGAAACTGGAGATTTGATGCTGGGAAAAGCAGCACAGAGATGCAAAGCTCAAATTTTACTCCTTCAGTGCTTGTTGTGCTTCTTCTTAAATAAAACTTGTTGTTGTTTTCTGCCTGTGGGAAAGAATAAGAACAGGAGAAGGTAAGATGATCTTGAAAGTCCTTTCCAAAACTAAGCATTCTGTGATTCCATGATCACGGGGTTTGTGTGTGGTTGTGAGAGACTGATGCTGCTGCACCAACACCTTTCTGCTCCCTTCAGGAAAAGCCAGCCCCGACTAGGCTTGAGAAGGCTCGTTGCAGCCAACAAGAGTCTCTGACAGGAGTCTACCAGATCCAATCCCATGCATAGCCACTGTGGTGATGGGTACACCAGAGATGTGGCAGATACCTCGGAGACCTCCCCTACCATGTGACAGACACCTCTATCTGCACCTGAGAAAGGGCAGCTGTGACCACAGGAGACAAGAATGAACAGGCCGGCATAGCTCAAACAATCGCTTAATCTACTCCACCGCTTTCTTGGACTTTTCCATGCGATCTCCAGGATCCAGCAGATGCAAACGCAGATCCTCACACTCCTTCTCCTATTATAGCCTCAGGTCTGGAAGAGAAACAGAGACTTCCCCTTTGCCCTTTGAGCTCCCAAATCACCCTCTCTACTTTCCCCATTCCCTCTGTTTGCTCCTCAGGCAGAAAAACTCTTGGACTGAACTGCGTTGACCTGAGCTGTGCCTAAAACCAGAGCAGGGCTATTAATACCTCACCAGCTGGGCCGCGACTGGGTACCTGTCCTAGTGTGAACAGAAGGAAACAGCAAAACTTGTTTCTGAAGGGGAAAAGGTTTCAGACTGGAAGAGGACTGAGGATAGGCTTGAAACGTGGGAAGAAAACTAGCAGAAGCTTAACCACTGTCCATTACAGCTCCAAGGCCCAATCTGGGACCCTGACAGAAGGTTTGTGTTAAAGTTCAG